AAATTGGATAATAATAATAGTAATAGTATCATTATTACTTTTATGATTATTATTTTACAAAATAAATAAATAAATAAATAAATAAATTCATATAAAGTCATACATACAAAAATAAAACAACAAAAAATAAAATTAAAAAATTTTATAAATCCGCCAACAACAGCAATAAAATATGTAAAAAAACCATCAGCATGTAAATATACGCTGTACCGCTGGAGACAGCAACAACGCCGTTTTAATATCAGTAAAGAGCCCCAAAGCCCCAGCAGAAGTAACAGCACCCATGACACAGTCTCATGCACAAAGCTCACCTCTTCACTTTCCTCCCGCGATGAACTCTCAGAATTGGAGCTGCCACCTCTGCTTCCTTCCTCCGACGCACTCGCAGAATAAGTGCTGCCATCATCGTATTTTGGGCCTGCCTCGCCGACCATGAGCCATCTTAGATGCTTGGAATTGAGTCTTCGGTTATACAAACGGGCGTTGAAGAGTGACAAATGGCTGGACTCTGCAACTTCCCCACTCTCCCCGTGGAATTGGATGTGTGAAATACTGTTTGTTTGGAGAAGAGACCCCTTGTAGGTGCCAAAGTAAGCCACCCTCGCGTTAATGTATAAATCCCAATGGCCCGTGTCGTGTCGCAGCACCACCTGAGACGGTTTTTCTGGGTCCCACCCGGTTGAAAGTATTTGTCTACCGCCACTATGAATTACAGTCATCCACCTCCCATCGTGGGTGTAAAACACACCAAATAGCACAGTCTTGCCATTGTCATCCATCACCACACGAATCAAAGGAATGGGGGTGCGTTTCTTCGGCTCATCGTGGACGATCGCCATCACCACTAGAGTGAACGTTTTGTGTACGAAATGGTACGGTTGATTCTGTCCACTTCGGGCAACAGGCCACCCCGCCCCTGCTCCGGGTCCCTCAAACGTCACTCCATTGGAGAACCCTCTCACCGTCCCATGAACAGTCGCGTTCACGCAGAGGTACTCGTCCATCCACTCACTCCCAGTCGACAGACCAGACAAATAGCCAACAAGCCCGTCAGTAAGAATGGGACGAATACACATGCCCCTTCTCACCGGGTCGATAGTGGCAGTGGGTCTGCACGTTCTTAGGGCTTCATCCAACTCCTGCCACCTCTTCACCACAGTCTTTATCCGCTCCAGCTGCGTAGTCACGTGCACAGCAACAAGACCGTATGACCCCTCACTCTTATTCTCGTGGAGCGAAATCAGATCGCCCCCACTGCTATACAACAGGGAACTGGCAGCAGCGTCAACAGCTGCATCGGATATCGGCCCAGCATCATGCACACGTGCACCGTCCGTCAGCCAAAGATGAAGCCGACCCCTACCTTTTTTCTCCTCCAAATACACCGGCGTGGTAACAAGCAGCACTTCCCTTCCCTCAATGGTTACGGTGGTGAGGCCACAGCGAACGCCATACCCTTTTCGACCATACGAGTTGCCCCACACGCGAGTAATTGGCCTACCACTCATTTCCCAACGTATCCCAGAGTCAATGGACCTGAATACTTCGTAGTAGCCGGCAGCGCAAGGAGTAATCAAAATCAGATTTCCTTCCAAATTCGCGATGGATGGCTCCTTGCAGTTAATACCTGTCGTACCGGACGAGAGCTCGCATGCCTCTATACGCATGTTGAAACGCATGGACAGTACAACACTCCTTCCATCCTTTTCTACTGCCTGCATGGGAAGCACAAGGTAACCGTTATTCGTCACAACACCCGATCCTCCGCCACCAATCACCCTCTTCAGGAATTGAGTAAGCCCGATGGCCACAGGGTCCACTGCACGGATATCACCCCGCATGATTTTCTTCTGCCCACCATCCTCAGTGAGAGTTCCCCTCGTCAGTAAAAGCCTCCAGCCATCTGCATCGGCAGCCCGACCCCCAGACGTCTTCTTCCCGTAGTCCCCAAGGGCCACGTAGATACTGTCGCCGCTCACAATTGTCGTTGGCTGCATCTTTTCTTGTGCCCTGATCGTACCACTGGCGGCATCCACAAGTTCTACGAGAGAAACGCCTGCATCCATCGCCGAGATCGCCTTTGAGCCACCACCGCCCGTCTCAATGTGCGTTGATGCAATCGCAGCATGGCCGCAGGCTCCGTCCCCTTTCACTGCACTGAGCTTCAGCAACGGCAAACACACCGCCGGCCACCTCAGCAAGGCTGGGTACACGAAGCGAGCCGGCTGCCGCCTCAGATCCAGTCATTTCTTGCTGGTTATAGGGCGCCGGTGTCGTTCCCTGAAAAGGATCAACGGCTTTTCCTTCCCCCTTCCTTCCCTCCTCCTTCCGCTGGATCCGGTCACGCGGCGACGGTTGTGTTTATTGGGTGCCTTGACAGCAGCAACACGTGAGAGCATACAAATATGTGTGTGTGGGCGGACTGTGTGTGCTGTTGTTGGTCCTTTCAGTGCCTTCGAACTTCACAGTAGCGTTTAGCGTTTGTTTTCCTTCTCTCCTAGCGTGTCTGTGTTCAAGAAGTGGAGAGTACGGCAGCAACAGCAACAATACACCAGAAAAGTCAGTGAGGAGCAGAGCAGAGCACCCACGCAAAGTGCGGGGAAAAATAGAATCCGTAAGGGACGGCACGGAGAGCAATCACCCACAGAAAAGAGCAGCAACACGGCAATTCGCGGCGGGCCGTCGGTGTTTGCGGACCAGTCCTCACGCGGTGCAACACGCCTCACACGCAACAGGGAAAGACAGACAGACAGGTGGAGAGAAATGAATGGATGCCGTCAGGAGGCACTCACAATCAACATGGACCGTGAGCATGCGGCCACTCAACGCAGGAACACAGGAGGAGATGATGACAGGGAAAAAAGTAAGAAGCTGCACAACACAAAAAAAAAAAAAACGACAGGCGGAAAAAGCACCGCCAACGCCCTAACCCTAACCAAGACGCACAGACACGCACCATCGCAGTGCTGCCAGTCCGCGGGCGAGAGGATTCGGCCCTCCACACAAAAAACGCACACACTGCCAGCAGCCACACACCGATGGACAAGAACGAGAAGAGACACAGCTCCACTGCCTCCAGTTCAATCCCACGACCAACGGGATACGGCCACAGCCCCACCGCCAACACACAGCGCACACGAAGTGAGCTCTCAAAGAGCCGCGAGCAGAAGCGGGGCCCTCATCCATCAATGACGCGGCGTCTCACTCCATGCAGCCACACGGAATGCACCATTTCCCCAATAGAACTTATCCTTCGTCCATCCCTTAAAGACACCTCTGTTAGTGATGGGCCTTAGAACACAACAGAAGAAAATGGAAAATGCAGTGGTACTGCGACACCGCCAGCCACAATGATTCCCTCATACCGAGGCAATTCTCCAATTATGCCTCGTGTGCACACACACACAATCAACATACCATATAGAAATCACCCAATTTTTTTCACCAGAAACCAAACAACCCCACTCCCTCCCTGATTTCTTCTGTCACTGTTATGTTCGATAGCTTTGGTCAGTTTTGACATCTTTTTGTAACACTGTCACCTGGTGCTGGTGCACCTGCACCGTATGCACACAAAAAAGTATCCAAAAATATATAAATCCCACAATATCTTTTTACCACAAATCAAAACTACCCCTTTCATTCCCTAATTTGTTTTCCTACTTCGACGGTTCTTCCCCACCTCAGAGAGCTTCGCCCATCATAAATCCTCCGGATGATACTGCTGCTATGTACTGGCGCACCTCTTCCTCCCAGAACGCCGCTATTTCACGGTTTTCAGCGCGGCTCACATTATCGGAATTGACGACATCACATCTCTGCTGTTCGTTTATCGGCGTGCTGCCTGCGTGCTGCACATAAATAATCTCCCACGACATGTCTCGAGATAATTCCTCCCAACCATTAAAATACGCCGCCAGGCACTCAGTGAACTGCCTCACTGTGCTGGTTGTGGTGCGGTGCTCACCCGCCGTAGTCATCCGCAGCCCCACCAGCGTCATTGGATTTGAGTCCACAAAGAAAAAGCCGTCCACCAGCGGAAAGTTTTGGACTTTCGGTTCATACAGCACCCAGTGGTCCATAGCAACCGGATTGGAAAGACGTTCCGGTGGCGGTAGAACCTCTTTTCTGGTGAAGCTCGTGTCTGAGTGCTCTTTCAGCGCACAGCTGTGTGGCTCACGTCGTCCTGGTGGCCTCAGTTCCTCAATTTTAAGTCTTATCGCTCGCAGGAAATCCTCATTCAAAAATGCGGATACGGCATACTTTTCAATAATATATGGTGGGACATAATCCCAGAACCTCAAAACAAGGAAAATAAAATCGGACTGCTTCATTTTATCCTCCAACCTGGACAAAGTTTCACGTTCGAGGTGGGGAGATACCAGTACATTCAAAGACAATTCAATGCTGTTACCTCGTCGT